TTTTGACAATCTTTAATTTTTTTTTTCACTTTCCCTTATTTGTGTAGTTTTTCTTTTCCCACTTATATTTCTGTTTCAACCATTTATTCTGATCTTTTTTCTTTTCTGTTGTCCTGGAAAGCGCATAGAGACACATGTTATGCATTATTCAAGTGTACAACCATTCACCATGTTAATTAATGAATATAAACAAACAAACTAATTTTTGAAGGTTAGTCTGCAGGGTGTGTTTGTTCAGTGACAAGTTTGATTTTTTTTTTCTGTTTCAGAAAACAACCAAGCCCTTAATGTGTGCATACAAATTGGTAACAGCAAATTTCAAATGGTGGGGACTACAATCAAGAGTTGAGAACTTCATAATGAAGGTAATTTATGAGTGGAAGAGTTGAGGGTGGAATTTGAAACATAGACTGTCTGGGAAATTCCAAAAGGTGATCAAAGATATAATTTTTGATGGGATAATTGTGTGGTATCTTGCATCTTATAATAGCTGAGGTTAAAACATGAGTAGCTGGAATGCAGTACTAGAGATCTGGAATAAATTATACTTGTTATTTTGTTTGTATTTCAAGTCCCCAAACGTCTGTACTTTCAGTAGTCTGGTTTTTTTCTTACAACAGATAATTTTTTTCTTGCAGTCTGAGAGACGACTATTTACTGTTTTCCATCGCCAGCTGTTTTGTTGGATAGATCAATGGTACGGATTGACGATGGAGGATATACGAAGAATTGAAGATGAAACAAAGAAAGAATTGGATAAGGTGAGTGTATATTAAATAGTTGATTGATGTAATGCTCCTTCAGACTTTTATGAGTTATCCTTGGTGTTTACACAGAATAGATCCAATCTTTGTATCAAATTGACAGCCAAGATGTGTTGGCATCTCCATTTTCTGGATACAGATTACCTTTTTTACAACTTCTGCCATCTGCCTGGATAGGCTCATCTTTTAGTGATAGTATTATTACTTTTGCCTGTCTTGCAGTGATGTATCTAGGGATGAATTCCCCTGCTCAACCCCCTCACCCCACCCAAGTAGTACATGTTGTACGAAATATAAATATTATATGAAAATTGTTTCTATATTTTTTTTCTTATATTTTTAGCAAAGACAAGAGGGAGAGATTAGAGGAATGATTACCAAATAGATGAGGACCATTCTACCAATTGGTGAAGCACAGAACATGTGTAGTACAATAAATTCATCAATTTGACATATAAAGCTGTTGATTACACACTAAGAAAGTTTGAAACATAATTTCATGTGTACCTAACATGAAATCTCAAGCAATTAATACTATGAGATTTAAAACAAATCAAGGAACCAGGTGAAAGTTTGATGGCATTCCAGTTTGACCCCACCCCTTCCTTATCCCCTTCTCTTAAATGTATAGTAGTTAATTTCCTATATAAGTGTCAATTTTAGGTTACATTTTATCTTTGTAGATTAATATGGTAAAACATCATTAAACATGGAGCAGCGGTTAAGGTCGTGGGCTGTCAAAATGTGACATGTATTTATAGCATAAATACAAGCTTCTGTTCTTCTGTAAACATCAACAGTGCCCTCATTGTACAGGTTAAATTTTCTGTAACTTACAATATGCTGTAACCACTGACTGGTTAACAACACTAACAAAACAGCTCTAACATGCCTATGCTTCTTACAGAATTGTATACAACAACTCACCTTATTAACATCTCATTTAGCTATTCCAACTTCAAAACCTATTTTGATTTTCGTATGGTGAAAGACTTTAAGGGCCATTATAGTTAAAAGTTATACGGATAATTTTCTTTAATTGGCCAAACAGATGCTTAAAATAAATTATTTTTCATATATTTTTTTGTGAAAAATTCAAATTATGAGGACACAAAATTAAACATAAAAGTGTATTCCGCTAATGTTGTGTAATATAAATTAAGAGGTTAAATTTAAATTTCAAGAATATATCAATTCTTTTATTTAAAAAAAAAATCATATCAGGAAATCATGGATTTTCTGCAAGATGTTGCTTGTAATACAGTATTTGAAATGATTATACTGTAAATTTACAAAACATGAGAGTTGTAAAATTGATAATGAAAAATTGCAATTTTTAAAACACAAGAGGGCAGTATGTAAAAAAAATTATGATTTTCAAAACACATGAGGGCAGTATTTAATTAAATATGAGGTGAGTGGTCCAAAGTAGCCAATCAAGAGTATTATGTAATTGTGCTATAAAATGGCATTGGCTATGGAGAAGTCCATCACCATGCCTGGACTGGTAGTTGACGTGTACATATCTAATTTTTTTTATTATGCATCTGATTTTAAAACATTTGGACAACAAAATCTACTGCCCAAAATAAAACTTAATAATACATTCTGTTGGCCAATAAAAAGTTATGGGAATTCTATTCATTGCAGCAGTCATTTTGCACAAAATTTACTATGGTTCGATAGCTTCAGGCATGGAGAATTGTAATGACAATATTTTTATTGCAACTCAACAGAAGAGGGCAGTATAAAAATAATACATTTTCAAAGAGAACAGTATTTACCAGAAGGAACCTCATTAATATTCATCTCATTTGCATTCTCATTATACATTTGAATAATTCAGAAAATATATATTTTCACACTGTGCATTAGATACTTGTGTTATTAATTTAGATATATATTTTCCTGCTTGGTAGTATTTGTTTTATATAGAGGCACTTAAATGGTGGTCAATTTAATATTCAATTATATAGATTTAGGATATCACAGGTATGAAATACAAAGATCTTTTTTTTTTTTTCTGGATCAATTATTTATGTAATGGTTGTCGTTATTTTCCCGACGATTTTTGTCAAATCTGATGTGCTGATTGGTGGAGTTGGCTTTGACCATAAACTTAACTTCAGTCTTGCTATCTAAATGCACTGTAGCATGTCAGAAGAATAACCACTTTGTTAATTTGATGAATCCATTGATATAGCTTGAATATAAGCATCTGTTATATTTGTATTTTCTATGACTGTTATCAAACTGATGCATTTGAGAGGCTGTGGGCAGATGATGATTTGATAAGAATGGTGAATTATTGCATTTTATGGTTTAAATCAATATCAATCAATATTTTTCTAAAGCTTGATAAAGGTTATTCCTAAGCAACAAATTCTAGTATTAATGACATTAAATTTACACTACAATTAAAAAATGAAATCAAACTGTTTTTAATTAAGAATGTGCTCATGAGAGAGAGCTTTATAAATTAATGATCAATGCAAGTGAACATAATGGAGTAGTTTTCAAATTATTTTGTTCCAAAATTCAGTTGCATAAATATGTTAATGATTTTTAGATTAAGTTATTTTTGTTGACAATATGTAAGGGCGTCAGTCTTTCATTTCAGTGGGTGTGACTATTTTCTACTCTCTTTATATTGGAAAATAATACATATTCATAATATTGACAATGCATATTCATAAAATTCACTGGTCTTAATGTTATTCATGCCTGAATGACTAGGGTTAGGTTAACACTAGAGTCCTAATATCTGGATCGGGTACTAACCGTTAGCAGCTGTGTGAGAAAGAATGTTTAGCGCTAAATGTCTCCAGGACCTGGATATGTCATCAGTTAGTGAGTGCAAGTTGAGCGCATTTCTATCATAATCAACCAATCACACGTACACATTTCCAATTCCCAGTTTCCTATTGGCCAATGATCTCATCATCATCATCTTGATATCTAGATGGGGGATTTTCTTGTATGAACGCAAGGGGGAGCGCACATGTTATTAATCTGGATCCTGCTAACCATTAGCCGGTGTGTGCGAACGTAGCCTAGGACTTTTAGATTCAATTTGGAATAAGCTTTCATGGAATTGTTGCCAGCTATTTTAATAATTATGAATATGCATTATTTTCAAACTGTTGGAGAATAGAAATTATTTAAGGATGAATTTATGTGGAAGACCTTGCTCAGTGAGCCTTCTGACTTGTAGATTCATAATAGCGATCTTGATTTTGTTTTGTTATATTCCATCTGAGGTTTCCTCTGGTTCCCCCCCCCCCCCCAGAATTACATTGTTTCCTTCCTGCTAATGTATTGATTTTGGCTAAAGAAAGCTAATGGTGTAAGTAATATAGTTATTACTTAATAGCAATAAGTAAAATGGTTTTTATAGGATGTTTATTTTCAATTATTATTGCTAATTAAATTATAATTTATGCAATATGAAAGATTGCAATTTTGAAATTATGCAGGAATTGCTCGAGAATTATTTCCTCTTAGGCTCCTTTACTACCCAAATTATTGATGATGTACTTGTATAGGCTTTACCAAAGTTACTGAATTGCCATGTAGCTTGGACATCATTGTTTGGACGTACCGTCACGCATTGTGCATCGTGCTAGCACATGCTCCAATTTATTTTCAACTTCATGTTCCGAAAATGATTTATATGACAATTTTAAGAACTACTTTACAACTGAAATACAAATCTTGCTGATTTGTTCCACGAAAATGAAAACGTTTTTGGTCTAATCAAGGATCTAAGTACAGTATTTCAACAAGTAAAAGTCATAATTTTCTTGACGTACACGAGGCTTTGGTATTTAAGATTGGTACCAAAATATGGTACGCCCAATATGCCTCCTGGTAGTACAAACTTCTGGTGTGATTTCTGTTCAACCATGGAGGAATTCCTCTATGGTTCAACTTGCAAGACCTAATACGGTACGCAAAATGTGACGCAAAACCAACCTCGGTTGTCTTCCTGTGAACCATAATTAGTACTGTTTCTCGTATGTTAAAATAATTAGTTGCTCGATTGGAAGTCGGAATAAATATTCCCCTCCCTTTGCTTAATCGTTCCCCTGCACGTACATCCGTGTCGAACCTGGGTTATAGACTGATAGACTGGTGATGTAATACAATTAGATAAACGACTATTATTTCGATAAACTACGTACACATCCAAATTTGTTGGTCCCATTATTGGTATATAAATACAGTATATATTAAATAAATGTCTTTAAACAGATATTACATTGATTTCTTCTGTGTATTGTTTTGGTATCATCACTTTAAAGAAAACGAACTCTCATTAATCGTAATTTGCTGCTGCACTGTTATTGCCACTGTTACTGATGCTATGTTTGATACAATACTACTGCTGCTGCTAATACTACCACCACCGCTACATCTGCTCTTTAGTAGATACAGTACTGCTATTGCTGCTGTCAACATTTTTTACAGTATTACTGTAGTTTCTATTGTACTACTGTACTTCTACTGCTGTTTTTATGCTGCTGTAACCTCTGCAACTAATGTTACTTCTGGTAATTCTATACCACTAAATCTACTAATGCACTATACATATGTAGTATGTAAGTTTGTTGGTTGCCTTATAACATTGTTCCAAAGTTCATAAAAATTAAAACTGAAAGAAGGTACTGTTTATATTTTACAATTTCAAGTAACGGCGAGAAAAAAGAAAAATAGACTTCTGTTAGGGGCATGAGTATACTGTAGGAACTAGGTCAAAACTACTCTAAACAGTCCATTATCTGAAAAGGTGTCATCTGTCAAAATGTAGGACCTGAATTACCAACTCCCTGATAAAAACTACATCCACACTGTAGCATGCCTGTCGAACTGAAATGAACCGTAACACATTGCATTTTACAGAAAAAATCCACTTCCACAACATAGAGTATGTCTCCACAAGCACAGTTAAAGTGCAGTATACCGGTACTCTGGAATTGTGTTTCTTGAGGCGTATATTTGATAACATTAGTTAGGCTTATCTCCGATCTTGTTTGGATAAACAAATATCCAGAAAGCTGAGAGTAGCCATCTTCAGTGACCTTGATTGAGCGTCGGACTAAACATGCAAAAATTTGACATGCATCTCATAAATTGTGTAGCCCGTATACTTCACATACAAAAAAACTCTCATTAACAGAATTAAGGCATGTACTGATAAGTCTTTTTCATGTTGAAATCTAACATTTGATAAAAGATATTAAAGCATCTTCTAGCATGAATGCAAGAAACGTATCTTGCCTTTTAGCAGTGTCAATAGCGTTAAGGAGATTCTATTTAGCGATTTATTTTCTGTCAGGTTTGAGTTTCAACATAGATATTGTTACACAATATGCCCTTTTCAATAATTTTCAATTTTCTCCTTTTGTCTATCAAGGTGGAATTAGTCGCTTAATATTATTTTGGCCAAGTATTCGACCTCTTTTTGGAAGAAATTTGATTGCTTTGAATTGTCAATTAGTATATAACAACGAATTAGGAACTTGATTTTTGATTTGACTATATTCGAAGAATCATTACACATATCAAAATAGGAAAAGGAAAATAAATGCTTATCAAACTAACTACATTATAGTAGGATTTTTCAGGATTACCCAAAAATGTCTAGAGGATTGGATTGTGCAGGTTTCTTGGATCTGGTGACATGCTTGATTGTCACTTAATGATGTCATTTTTGAACTGAAACTCTATGGTATAATATTATGGAGTTCTTCTACATGCACTTTCAAACAAAAGCATTAATTTCTGCTGTAACTATACATTGCTGCTGCTACTATACTATCGTTACTAATATAATCTTAGTACGATGGGCTTAATTATCTGTTGCTGCAACAGTCTTATTTTCACAACCGTATACGTCGTTAAACTGACCTCATATCTTTCCTTTTGGTCGTAAAGTTGTCATGCTACAAAGAAACAATCTCCATGTTTGCTGCTACTAATAATAACCAGTATATATAATTACAAAACGTGGCATTCCCGGTATATCAAAACGTTTCAACAAGGTCATGATGCAACGAGCATCCTTGGATATTATGAGCAATGGAACAGCCCGACCCTGTCTTCCTTCTCTTTTATGAGAACGATTATTCATGATTACCTAACAGTATTTACACAGCGATGTTAATTTCTAGAAAAGTATTGTTTACGAAATAAGGTTTTTACCACGTACGGTACCATATGCCAGACTAATTCATATTCGTTTTAATTAATACCGGCATGTCACTGATAGATTTACCACTTTCAAGTCAAATCACCAACGATAGCGCTGGCTAACAGTTGCTGGTATAGCAAACATATCTGAGCATTTGCATAAACGGTACGAGGTATGGAAAGAAACAGATCTGTTGCATTATATGATAGAAATTAATATCGGATATGGGAAAAATTTGTGTGCTAATGAACTTTAAGTAAGAGTCGTCTTTTGATGGAAGCTACCTTTTTGAAGTTTATTCCTGCCTTAACATGGATTGTAGACTTTATGCTTTGGCGGGTTGTTTTTTTCTGTTTGTGCACACGTCGGGTAAGTATACACCATAGCGTACATAAAGTGTTGCCTTAAAAAGTTTTTAAATTTTGAACGTAAATAAACATTATACTAGAAATTGCAAATTGCAAGTGAAGTGCTGCGAAGTACAGCTGCATATAAATGTTCTTCGAACAAAATTATTTATGCGAGTCAAGTGAAAATAATGAATAATAAAAATATAACAAATAATATGGGACACGACCTAATGTCTAAATTAGAACACTTCTCATTGGGTAACAAAGTCGTAATTTTTCATTTTTGTCAAAAAGTGTCTATAGTGGTAAATTATTGTTTAGGTTTCAAAAATTTCTATGTATGTGGAAAATGTAACTGATTACCAAAGGTTACAATTTTTATTTTGAAGACTGCATGGTCTAGGAAGTGTACATTTTTTTTATGGGGAAAGTTTCCAGGGGCGGGTTTTCTAGGGGCGATTTGACTGCCAATGAGTGTTGCCATAGTGCGAGCCAGCGTGTTATTTGATCACAAGTGCGAGAAT